CACTTTGCAGGAATTTATGGGCAGGAAATGAAGGATCTGCCTCGTGCCCACCCCAGCTCCCAAAATCCAGGTTCTGCTCCCATTCCGCTTTCACTTCCATTTATTTCAGATAAATATTTCAGATAAATGCTTAATTTCAAATCCTGATTTTATCCCTTGGGAGCATCCCCTCCACCCTGCTCTGCCCCAGCACAGCATTCCCACAGAATTCCTGTTGGATTCAACCCTTTCCTGACTTCCAGGTGGGACAACTGGGAGGCGTTTTAAAACCTTTTATTCCATTTTCAGTCTCGTGTGGAGGGCGAGGCAGTACAGATTTATAAACCACGCCATAGCAATCAGGAGAAGTCAGAAAAGAGCTGAATCCCACCAATTCCTTTTTTCCCCGGAGCCGGGAGCGGTGCGAGCCGGTGACTCAGGAGCGTCTGGGCTGCGGGAGGCGCTGCCAGCCGGGAATGCTGGAGCCGGGACAGGAGAGGGGAGGGGAGGCGGCGCTGACTCAGCCCCAGCGGGCCGGGAGATGGGGTTTGCCGCGAGAGGCTGCAGCCCACGCTGCCCCTCTGCTCCGGGGGTGGGAACAGCCGGCTCCGGGATGCTCTGGAATGTTCCAGGGTGCTCTGGGATGCTCCAGGATGCTCTGGGACGCTCCCAGATGCTTTGGGGGGCTCTGAGAAGCTCTGGGATGCTCTGGAATGTTCCAGGGTGCTCTGGGATGCTCCAGGATGCTCTGGGACGCTCCCAGATGCTTTGGGGGGCTCTGAGAAGCTCTGGGATGCTCTGGAATGTTCCAGGGTGCTCTGGGATGCTCCAGGATGCTCTGGGACGCTCCCAGATGCTTTGGGGGGCTCTGAGAAGCTCTGGGATGCTCTGGAATGATCCAGGATGCTCTGGGATGTTCCAGGATGCTTTGGGATGCTCTGGAATGTTCCAGGATGCTCTGGGATGCTTTGGGATGCTCTGGGAGTTCCAGGATGCTTTGGCATGCTTTGAGATGCTCCTGAGTGCTTTGGGATGCTCCCGGATGCTTTGGGATGCTCTGAGGTGCTCCAGAATGCTCCCAGATGCTTTGGGATGCTCCAGGATGCTTTGGGATGCTCTGAGAAGCTCTGGGATGCTTTGAGATGTTCTGGGATGTTCGAGGGTGCTTTGGCATGCTTTGGGATGCTCCTGGGTTCTTTGGGATGTTCTGGGGTGCTCTGGTGCTTCTCAAGGGGCTCTTGGTCCCACAGGGAGCCGCTTGCTCTGTCACCAAAGGTTAGATGCAAAGCAGGATTACTTCCCTCTCTCTGTGAAAAACACGAGAATGCACACAAGTGAATTTTCACTCTCCTGTGAAAATGTAAAAAGTTTAATGAAGGACAGTGGGAGATGAGAACCACAGAGCAAAGGTTATTGTGGCATCAGCCAAGAGCCCCCTGTTATCTTCAGGGATGCCCCTTAAATACCTTTAATTACATCAGCCCTTTGCATATTCACAGACCCTTATGCATTGTAAATTTTCCCCAAACTAGTTTACACATTCCAAGAATTATTTAGCATGGCTCCTCCTCAGTTCCACCTTTTAGATCATGTGGATTCCTTGGCTGTGGTTTCAGTCCCTTTTTGTCCCCTGCAGTTTGGGCCTGTCCCTCACTGCCCTCAGAGGGTGAGTGCTGCTGCTGGCAGATGTGTGCAGGGTGCCCATCCTGTGTCACTGGGTGCTGTGCCACGCCAGCAGGGATTGTAACAAACTGATGTCAGCTTAATGAGCAGTGAGCTTAATGAACCACAGAAATGAAATCCATATCTTTATAACAAAGTCACTGTAGCACCACACAGATAGAATCCTTTAATTTTTACAAAAAGCCAATGTTATAATACGAATGTATAAGATCTCCATCGCATCTGGAGCACCTCCCAGTTCTCACCCCCGCTCCCTTCCCTCCCCCCAGCATCCTCCGGGATGTCCCTGTCCCCGATCTGATGTCCCTGTCCCCAGTGTGATGTCCCTGTCCCCGATCTGATGTCCCCTCTCCCCAGCATCCTCCGGGATGTCCCTGTCCCCGCTGTGATGTCCCTGTCCCCAGTGTGATGTCCCTGTCCCCGATGTGATGTCCCTGTCCCCGCTGTGATGTCCCTGTCCCCAGTGTGGTGTCCCTGTCCCCAGTGTGATGTCCCTGTCCCCGATGTGATGTCCCTGTCCCCGCTGTGATGTCCCCGCTCCCTCCCCTGTGGCTCTGCCCAGCACAAAGCCGCCCTTTCTCCATCCAGGCCCCGGAGCAGGGACATTTCCAGGGACAGTGGTGCCATTGATTGCCGCCCGGGCCGCGGGGCTGGCGGCAGACGCCGGGCACGGGGGCTCGGAGGGGTCAGCCAGGCCCTGGGAATGAGCCCTGTGTCCCCTGGAGCTCGGGGACGGATTTGGGAGCAGGGGTGACGGCAGGGCCAAGCCCTCCAAGGGCAACGGCCTTCATTTCCAGTGTCAAAAGCAGCTTTTGAGAGATGTCCCATTCCTTGGGGACACAGTGGGACAAGGCCCTGTCCCTGGCAGTGCCCAAGGCCAGGCTGGACGGGGATTCCAGCACCCTGGCACAGTGGAAGCTGTCCCTGCCCTGGCACAGGGTGGAACGAGATGAACTTTAGGGTCCTTCCATTCCCAACAATTCCATGCTTTTATGGCGCTGAGATGATGCCCTCTGCCTCCTCATCCTCATCTGATGCTGTGCAAACCCCAGACCTGCAGCTTGGGGTGCAGGGACGTTCCCCCATCCCACCAGGGGACAAGGGGATCAAACCCCAGACTCACAGCTTGGGGTGCAGGGATGTTCCCCCATCCAAAGGATCCAAACCCCTTCCCTAACCCAAGCTGCTGCAGGCAGAGCAGGACTTGGAACCAGCTTTGCAGGGCTCAGGACCAGCCCTAGAGGACTCAGGACCAGCCCTACAGGGCTCAGGACCAGCTCTGCAGGACTCACAACCAGTTCTGCAGGGCTTAGGACCAGACTTACAGGACTCAGGACCAGCTTTGCAGGGCTCAGGACCAGCCCTACAGGGCTTAGGACCAGCACTAGAGGACTCAGGACCAGCCCTACAGGCACCCCAGCCCTACAGGGCTCAGAACCAGCTTTGTAGGACTCAGGATCAGCTCTGCAGGGCTCAGGACCAGCCCTACAGGACTCAGGACCAGCTCTAGAGGACACAGGACCAGCTCTGCAGGGCTCAGGACCAGCCCCACTGGGACCCCAGCCCTACAGGGCTCAGGACCAGCCCTACAGGGACCCCAGCAGCCGCTCCTGGAAGCTCCAGCCGGCTCGGTTGCCAGCTCCGAGCCCAGCCCAGGCTCGCTGGAGGCTGGCAGAGCTGTTTCCTCTCTCGGCTCTGATTCACGGCGGTCCCCGGGGAGCTGCAGGATAAACAACAACCTCGGCGCCAGCCAAGTGATTGTTTAGGGCTGCTTTGTTTTGGGCTCGCAGCTCGGCAGGGCTTGGGGAGCTCAGGAAGAGCCCCCAGAGGAGCCTCAGGGCAGCCGGAAAGAAGTGTGGCAGAGGAGGAGGAGGAGCTGAGTTCGGAGCTCAGACTCAAAACTTGGAGATTCGCCTGGGTTAGCAGCGATTTAGGGGCTGGGGTTTGAAACCCAGTGAAGTTTGGGGAGGTCTGGGCAGACTCCCCCGAGGCGTGTTGGTGATGGGGTCACGGCACTTCAGGGGGGGTTTTGGGAAGGGAGAGGGTGTGAAGGGGCTTGTGCCTCTGCTGGCTGCAGAATCAGCCTGAAAGGTTCTGTGCCAGCTTCTCCAGCTCGGGCTCAGCGGTCTCCAGAGCCTTTGGGCACAGGGAAGGCTGGGCAGGGCACAGGGGCAGGAAGGGACGGTCCCAGGGGAACGGCACAGGAAGCTGTCCCCTCCTTGTGTCCCCAAATCGGACCTGGGCGGTTCTGGCAGCTTCCCCAAGCCCTGCTGGGAAAACTCTGCTTGTTTTAAGGGATGAGGGACCCGCAGGAGGTGGGAATAACCCCACACCCGGCGGGAATTCTGCGCCCCGGTGACCTCCGAGGTGCCTCTTGCTGGCGGGGCAGAGGCAGCGCCGGGCCGGGCAGTGCCAAGTGCCAGCCCTGGCAATTAAGAGCCACGCGCCGCTGATTAATTGCCCAGCGGTGCCTGCCAGCTCCAGCAGCGCTCCCGGCCTTTGGCCGAGCGCTGGGAATGCTGCCCAGGGCAGAGGCCGCTGCCTTTGGGAAGGGAAAAGCGGGAATGGCGAGCTCGGAGCGCCGGGCAGAGGGCAGCCCTGAGCCCCGGAGCCATCCCCGGGCACACCTGGGCATTTTGGGATCCCGGAGGGGCAGCAGGGCCGGCCTCGCCCAGCCCAGCTGGGCACGCAGGGGAACGGAGCGGGTTTGTAGGGAAGGGGGGCTGGAGAAGGTGGGATGTGAAAGAGGAAGGACAGAGGGGCAGACAGACGGGTCTGCTGCCAAGTGGGACGTCTGAGGGCTGGCTGCCACTCTTTGTTCCTGTCTGGGACACGGAGCCTGGGGGTGGTGGCTTTGGGTGAATGTTTCTGCTGTCAGACCTGGGCTCTGGCCTGGGAGCCACACCCTGTCCATCCTCCTGGGATCCACACCCTGTCCATCCTCCAGGAGATCCCAACCCTGTCCATCCTCCTGGGATCCACACCCTGTCCATCCTCCTGGAGATCCCAACGCTGTCCATCCTTCCTGGATCTTTTCTGGATCCAAACCCTGTCCATCCTCCTGGACATCCACACCCTGTCCATACTCCTGGATCCTTTCTGGATCCACACCCTGTCCATCCTCCTGGAGATCCGAACCCTGTCCATCCTCCTGGAGATCCCAACCTTGTCCATCCTCCTGGAGATCCACACCCTGTCCATCCTCCTGGAGATCCAAACCCATTCCATCCTCCTGGGCAGGTCCTTCCTTTCCTCCTGGAGGATGGACACGGGCAGGGGCAGGGATGGGATCCGCGGGTGCCCCCAGAGCAGCTCCCTGAGCTGTGTGCCCTTCCCAGGTGCCAAGGAATATGTGTTCCCACGGAGGGAGAGGTTCCCCGTGTTCTTCCACCAGGAAAACACCTCCTCCATCTACGTCGGGGGCGAGGGGAGGCTCTACTACTACGACTTTGCAACGCGCGAGAACTACACGGTGAGGAGGCGCCGCTAACGGGTTTGGCAGCAAAACCCCAAAAAAGTCTCTGGGATTCATCTCCTGACCACCATTCCAGGCATTCCAGGCCTGGATGAGCCTTGGATCCGCCCAGCCGGCTCCATCCTGCCAGGGAACGAAATCCCAGCAGGAAAGAAAGGGTTAAAATTGGGTTGGGGTTAGGGTGAGGTTTAGGGTTACGGTTAGTATTGGGGTTGCGGTTAAGGTCGGGGTTGGGGTTAGGGTTAGGCTTAAATCTCCCCTGTTGGCCATGGGCAGGTTATTCCTTGGGTGGGATTCCTCTGGGTTAGGGTTAAGTTTAGGGTTATGGTTAGGATTAGGGTTAAATCTCCCATGTTGTCCACGGGTGGGTTTTACCTTGGGTGGGATCCTTTCAAGGTTCTCACTGCCCCACACAGAGGGTGTTTCCAGCCAGGGATCTTTCCTGGATCCATCCTGGATGTTTCCAGGCTGGGGATCTTTCCTGGATCCATGCTGGATATTTCCAGCTGGGGATCTTTTCTGGATCCATCCCGGATGTTCCCCATCCAGGGATCCTTTCTGGATCCATCCCAAATGTTTCCAGCCTGGGGATCCTTTTTGGATCCACCCTGGATGTTTCCAGCTTTAGATCCTTTCTGGATCCATCCCAAATATTTCCAGCCAGGGATCCTTTCTGGATCCATCCCGGATGTTTCCAGCCTGGGGATCCTTTTTGGATCCATTCTGGATGTTTCCAGCTTTAGATCCTTTCTGGATCAATCCCAAATATTTCCAGACAGTGATTCTTTCTGGATCCACCCTGGATTTTTTCAGTCAGGGATCCTTTTGGGATCCACCCTGGATTTTTTTCAGTCAGGGATCCTTTCTGGATCCACCCTGGATGTTTCCAGCCTGGGGATCCTTTTTGGATCAAGTCTGGATGTTTCCAGCTTTAGATACTTTCTGGATCAATCCCAAATATTTCTAGACAGTGATTCTTTCTGGATCCACCCTGGATTTTTTCAGTCAGGGATCCTTTCTGGATCCACCCTGGATTTTTTCAGTCAGGGATCCTTTTTGGATCCATCCTGGATGTTTCCAGCCTGAGGATCCTTTTTGGATCCATCCTGGATATTTCCAGCTTTAGATCCTTTCTGAATCTATCCTGGCTGTTTGCAGGGGATCCTTTCGGGATCCACCCTGGATGTTTCCAGCCAGGGATCCTTTCGGGATCCACCCTGGATGTTTCCAGCCAGGGATCCTTTCTGAGAGCAGCAATGCTCAGATTCCGTCACTGGCATCCAGCCCGGCCTTCCTGCGGGGTTTCAGGCACCAGGGGTTGGGGACAAGGACACCTCGTGGGTTTTGGTGACCTTGTGGTGCGCTGAGCCCACGCCTGGTGGCGTTGGGAGAGCAGGAATGGAAACGTTTCCCTCTCTTTTATCCTAGGAAGAGTTCCCGGTGAAAAATGAAGGCCAGTGCGTGTCCTCTGGGAATCTGGTAGGTCCCACCCGTGAGGGAACAGTGGGGTGGCGTGGGCTGGAGGATTTGGGTTGAGGAGGGACCAGTGGGATGGGGAGGATTTGGGTTGAAGGAATAATGGGACGGGGAGGATTTGGGTTGAAGAAGGGAATATGGGATGGGGAGGGCTGGAGGATTTGGGTTGAAGAGGGAACAGAGGGATGGGGAGGATTTGGATTGAAGGAATAACGGGATGGGGAGGATTTGGGTTGAAGAGGGAACAGTGGAATGGGGAGAGCTGGAGGATTTGGGTTAAAGGAGGAAACAGTGGAACAGGGAGGATTTGGGTTGAAGAGGGAACAGTGGAATGGGGAGAGCTGGAGGATTTGGGTTAAAGGAGGAAACAGTGGAACAGGGAGGATTTGGGTTGAAGAGGGAACAGTGGGATGGGGAGGATTTGGGTTGAAGGAATAATGGGATGGGGAGGATTTGGGTTGAAGGAGGAAATATGGGATGGGGAGAGCTGGAGGATTTGGTTGAAGGAGCTGCGTGTGCTCCTCATGAGCTCCCTCTGGACGAGGAGATCTGGGAAAACCCAGGAGGGATCTGGGCACTGGTGTGGTGCTGGGGGCTCAGTGCCATTGCCAGGCTCCTCTCCCCGGCAGGAGGACAGCCGGAATTTCCTGACCCTGGTGGAGCAGTACGGGGACGGGCTCTTGGTGTGCGGGACCGGCGCCTGCGCTCCCACCTGCTGGAACGTGGTACGGACCCTTCCCCCAGCCTGGGTGGGCACAACCCGGCCTGGCCCCACTCAGGATCCCTTCTGTCCTTCCCCAGACCCAGAGGAAGGAGAGCCCACCCTGGGATGGGAGAGGGATCGCTCCCTTCACCCCCGACTCCAACACCCTCGTCGTTGTCGATGGTAAGTGGGATATTTTCCCATTTTCCTCTTTTCCTGTGGTTTTGTTGTGCTCAAAACCTTCCTGGGACAAACAGCAACGCCCTGAGGCTGCTCCAAGGGCTTTGTCCCCTTGGCTCACCTCATTTTGTCCCCGTGGAAATGCACATCCCTTTGGGACAGAGGCTGGAGATTCCCACCGGGGCTGGGATGGGGACACTGGAAATCAGGAATGCCTTGGGTCAGGAGGGACCTGAATTGGGAATGCTTTGGGAATGTTTTGGGTCAGGAGGGACCTGAACTGGGAATGCTTCGGGTTAGGAGGGACCTGAATTGGGAATGCTTTGGGGAGGGACCTGAATTGGGGATGCTTTGGGAATGTTTTGGGTCAGGAGGGACCTGAATTGAGAATGCTTTGGGTCAGGAGGGACCTGAACTGGGAATGCTTTGGGAATGTTTTGGGTCAGGAGGGACCTGAATCAGGAATGCTTTGGGAATGCTTTGGGTCAGGAGAGACCTGAATCAGGAATGCTTTGGGAATGCTTTGGGTCAGGAGAGACCTGAATCGGGAATGTTTTGGGTTGAGAGGGAGCTGGGAAGGAGGGACCTGAATCAGGAATGCTTTGGGTTGGGATGGACCTTGGAAGGAGGGGCTGCAGTGATCCCACTGCTCCAGGCCTGCTGTGGGGACAGGTGAGGATCCTTCCAGGAATCTGTCCCTGCCACCCTTCAAGGACTGGGTGTCAGGACTGGGATTCCTGTTCCATACCCACCATCCCTGTGACGCCCAGGAAGTCTGGCTGCTTTCTCTCCTCCTCATGCTCTCCCCACTCCCTGCCGTCCCACAGGCCAGGACATCTACTCCACCATCAAGAAGAGCCAGCAGAATGGGAAGATCCCTCGATTCCGCCGTGTGAGGGGCGGGGGAGAGCTCTACACCAGTGACACCGTGATGCAGAGTGAGTGGGGACATCCCCACTGGGGGGATCCCCACTGGACTCTGACCCCCCACAGCTGGCAGGGGGCAGGAGAAGCTCCAGAGCTTCTTGTGGGGGCTGATTGATGTCAGATTGAGCAAAACTCGTTGGTTTTTCTTGCTTGCTTTCGCAACGCCTGTAAATCCACAAAAAAGGAATGTTTAGGTTGCTTTAGCCAAGTCTGCAGGCTCAGACACCAAATGTTTGACCAATCTGATCCCAAACAAACCCTTTGTCACCTGTTTGGTGTGCCAGTGCCAGCCAAGGAGTGGCCAATACCCAATGGTGACAATTACTGGTGTGAGGCTGCCAACGAGACCAGTCCCATAACCAGCTGGTGTTGCCCTGATCTTCTTAGAGCACCTTCTGAACCTCAGGAACTGGAAATTCTGGGTTCTTTGGCAATGGAATTTTGTGCTGAGGGCGATCCACAGTTAAATTTGCTCCCCACAAGCTCCAGTTTGTGGTGCAGCCCTACTGCCCCAGTGCCCCCTAAGCTTAATCCAGCAGATCGGGTGCCCTTGGTGCCAGCCAGGAGGGAGCCAGCTGTCTGCTTCCCCTGACCCCTGGCCCAAACCAGCACAAAAGTGACTTCCCTGTCCTTGGGGCATGGGGAAATGAGGCTGGCCCGTCCCTCCTGCAGGGTGGAAGGAAATTGGGTTGTGCAAAATGCCCGGCAGCTGCCCCGCGGCGTTGGGCAACTTCCAGAGCGGGCAGGGGCCCCGGGCAAACCCCAGCCAGGGCCAAACCCGGGGCAGGACAGGGAGGGGACACCAGGAAAGGAACCTGCTCCACTTCCCCGGGCTTGTGGTGGCTGCTGTGGGGGGGAAATGGGGGATTATTGAGATAAAAAACGGAATTAAAATGACAGTGGGATTAAAACAGGGAGGGGGAAACCAAACCAGACCTGAGAGCCTCAGGGCTGATCCTGGGACATTCCCTGTTGTGGGAATAGCAGGGCTTTGATCCCTGGAGGTTCCCTGCCATGGAAACAGCAGCTCAGGATGCTCAGAGCGACCCAGGGGTGCATTAACAGGAATGGTGTTATGGGATTTTCCCAACACACAGCACGATTGCTCCTCCTGAGGGATCTTCCTTCCTTCCTTGCTTCCTTCCTTCCCACACCAGCTCCCAGAGCCAGGAGGCACTCGGGGTTCCGTGGCTGCCCCAGGCTCCAGGGAGTGATTCCCTGCAGGGAATGGGTCTGTGCAGTCAGGCAGGAGGCACTGGGAAGGTGGCACTGATGCCTCAGCTTTAGCTTTTATATTTTCAGATTTAGTGTGTGGGTCTGGGCTTCACGTTAGGGGATGGTGAGCTCTGTGCACAGAGCAGGGAGACAAAACAATTCCTGCTCTAGCTGGGCACCAAGGACAAATGATCCAAATCTCAGCCCCAAGGGCACAAACAATGTGGGCTGAAGAGAGAAAAATAAGCAGGATGGGGTTTCGTAATCTAAAGCTGTGTTTGGACAATTAACTGCAATATGCAAATGGAGCAGAACTTATAAAAGTGAGAGACTTTGGTTGTCCATTTTTGTGACCATTTTGGGTTCATCTTGGGTGGGTTCTTGTGCTGCCCAAAGTGGATCCATTGAGGAGATCCTTTTAATAAATCCCTGCCTTATTCTCGAGCTCAGTCTCAGTTCCAGCTCAGCCTTCCCAAGGAGGGGCAGCCGGGGCTGAGATCTGTCCTTGCCCTGGGCCACAGCCGAGTCCCTCTCCCTGCCCTGTCCCCACCGCTGGCTCCCCGATGAAATCAGGTCCAAGCTCTGTCCCTTGCCTCCCCAGACCCTCAGTTTGTCAAGGCCACCACGCTGAGGCACGAGGAGCCTCACCAGGACAAGATTTATTACTTCTTCCGCGAGGACAACCCGGACAAGAGCCCCGAGGCGCCCCGGAACATCTCGCGGGTGGCCCAGCTGTGTAAGGTACCTTGGGGACAGGCCGGGCTGACAGCCAGCACAGCTCCAGCGGGGACAGGGGGCCTGCCAGCTCCCCTGGGCTTGCCCAGGCTTGGTTTGGCCCCTCTGGGTGGGGCACAGCCTCCCAGTAGGGCAGAGAATTCCCCTCTCTGTCTCACCGGGATGGCAGGACCGGGACTGTGGCAGCACCCCATCAGGATGGGCACTTTGGGGTGTCCCCCCAAACCCTGACTCCCTCCCTGCTGTCCCTGCCCCCAGGAGGACAGGGGAGGGACCAGCTCCCTCTCAGCCTCCAAGTGGACCACGTTCCTCAAGGCCACCCTGATCTGCGTGGACCCCGTCACCAAGGGCAACTTCAACTGGCTGCAGGACGTCTTCTTCGTGCCCGCGGGCGACTGGCGGCGCTCCAAGGTCTATGGGCTCTTCACCAACACCTGGTGAGGGGCCCTGGCCCAAACCCTCCCTTCCAGCCCTCTTTTCCCTCAGAAAAACAGCTGGGGTGGGCACGGCAGTGGGCACGGCCTGGTGTCCCCCTGACCCCGTCGTTGTCCCCTCAGGGGAAGCTCTGCCGTCTGCGTCTACTCCTTCGGGGACATCGACACCGTGTTCAGGACATCGCGGCTCAAAGGCTACAACGGGCCCAGCCCGGAGGTCAAACCTGGCCAGGTGAGGGAGGGCCCGGGGGAGCCGGGGAGGGGACACGGAGCGAGGGACGAGCGGGGAACGGAGGGAGGCTGGAAAAGGTGCGATCCCTTCGTGGAAAGCACGGGGACAGAGGATCTCAGAGGGCGCCTGCCACGGGCACAGGGACAACACCCGCGGGGCAGAGCTGTCCCCTTCCCCCGCCGTCCTCAGCGCCCCGCCCGCCTCTGACTCCGGTGCCTTTTGTCCCCTTCTGTCCCCTCTGCCGCAGTGCGTCCCGTCGGGGCAGCACCCTCTGACTCTGGTCCCTTTTGTCTCATTTTGTCCCCTCTCCTGCAGTGAGTCCCCTCGGGGCAGCACCTTCTGACACCGGTCCCCTTTGTCCCCTTCTGTCCCTTCTCCCGCAGTCTTGGGGCAGCACCCTCTGACTCCGGTCCCCTTTGTCCCCTTCTGTCCCCTCTGCCGCAGTGCAGCCCCACGGGGCAGCACCTTCTGATGGTCCTTTTTGTCCCCTTCTGTCCCCTCTCCCGCAGTCTCGGGACAGCACTCTCTGATTCTGGTCCCTTTTGTCCCCCTCTGTCCCCTCTCCCGCAGTCTCGGGACAGCACCCTCTGACTCTGGTCCATTTTGTCCCCCTTTGTCCCCTCTCCCGCAGTGCAGCTCCATGGGGCAGCACCCTGATTCTGGTCCCTTTTGTCCCCTTCTGTTGTCCCCTCGGGGCAGCACCCTCTGACTCTGGTCCCTTTTGTCCCCCTCTGTCCCCTCTCCTGCAGTGCGTCCCCTCGGGGCAGCACCCTCTGACTCCGGTCCCCTTTGTCCCCTCTGTCCCTCTCTCGCAGTGCGTCCCCTCGGGGCAGCACACGCCCAGCGAGACGTTCAAGATCGCGGACAGCCACCCCGAGGTGGAGCAGCGGGTGGAGCCGCTGTCCCCGTCCAGGAGCCCCCTGTTCCACAACAAGCACCGCTACCAGAGAATCGGCGTGCACGAGGTGGCCGCGGCCGACGGGCAGCGCTACAACGTCCTCTACCTGGCCACAGGTGCGGGGACAGGGACAGGGGACATCCCCCGCGGGCAGGGCTGCCTTCCCAGCCTGGCATATGCTCGTCAGGCAGCAGCGAGCTGCCAAATTTCGGGAACAGCTGATGGCTGCCAGGCTGGCTGTGTGGGCACAGCCGGGCAGCGTCCCAGGCACGGGGGAGGCGGGCACGCTTCGTGCTGGGGGGCACAGATCCTTCCCCAGGGAGCAGCTCCGTCGGTTTTTGGTGCTTCCCGAGCTGTCCGGGTGCCTCCCACCCGTGGGATGTGTTCCCTGGCACTCGTGGAGGGACCTGCAGGGGTTTAAATTGCTGGTTTTGTGATGGAGAAAGTGCAGCTGGCTCTCGGTGGGTGGCTGGGGTTGGATTGGGGCCCACGAGTGGTGGGTTTGGGATTTTACAGTTAGAAATTGAGAGAAACAGGGAAACTGAGCAAGAGAGTTGGAAACAGAGAAATAGAGACAGTTAGAGAGAAACTGAGAAATACAGAAACAGAGAAACACAGAGAGAAACAGAGAAAAAGAAAGAGAAACAGCAATAAATGGAGAAAAACAGAGAAATAGAGAAACACAGATACAGGAACACAGCAACAGAGAGAAACAGAAATATAGGAACAGAGAAACAGAGAGAGAAGCAAAGAAACAGAGAGAGAAACAGAGCAATAGAGTTGAAATAGAGAGAATCAGAGAGACAGAGCAATGGAGAGTTTGCAGCATCCTGGGTCTAAACGCAGCCCATGCCCTGCAGGGTGCCCCTGGGCAGCCTGATCCAACGGGAAGGGCTGTGGGATGGACATGGGGTCACCTGGGGGTCCTGCACGAGCTGGGCTTCCCCTCCCCCTGGCTGAGGGGAGAAGGGATCCCTTTGGGAAGGGGGAAGCACGAGGATTCCCAGCCCAGCTCCCTGGGGTGCTGTTCCTGCCCTCGCTGGGTGCCAGGTGCAGGTGGCACCTCCTGGCAGCGTCGCCCCTCTCAGGGTGCCTCACCAGGGCTGTGCCCTCTCTCTCCCCAGACAAGGGGTCCATCCACAAGGTGGTGGAGCTGCCAGACGGGGTGCAGAACATCGTGGAGATCCAGGTGTTCCCCAACAAGGATCCCATCCAGGCCATGATCCTGGACCACGCCAGGGTGGGTCCCTGCTCCGGGGGCGGGAGAGCGGGGTGGGTCAGGCATGGATGGGTCAGTGCCAGCTCCGGGGTCTGAGAGTGAAATCATGGAATTATTTGGGTGGGAAGGGACCTTTAATGACCACCCTGTGATGACCCCATGACCTTCAATGATCACCCTATGACCTTTAATGATTCCAGTCCCACTTTCCACTGTCCCAGGCTGCTCCAAGCCCCCGTGCCCACCCTGGCCTTGGGCACTTCCAGGGATCCAGGGCCAGCCACAGCTGCTCTGGGAATTCCATCCTGGCCCCTCTTCACCCTCCCAGAGAACAATTCCCAATTCCCAATATCCCTCTGGCAGTGGGAAGCCATTCCCTGTGTCCTGTCCCTCCAAATTCCCTCTCCAGCTCTCCTGGAGCCCCTTCAGGCCCTGGCAGGGCTCTGAGCTCTCCCTGAGCCTGCTCCTCTCCAGCTGAGCACCCCCAGCTCTCCCAGCCTGGCTCCAGAGGGTCTCCACCCTTGGAGCGCCTCCATGGCCTCCTTCCAGCAGCTCCAGCCCCTTCCTGACCTCCCCTGGGACACGGAATGACAGCTCCTGTGCTCTCCCCCGCAGGCCGTGCTCTACGTGGGCTCCAGCAGCCGCGTCCTGGAGCTGCCCATGGACATGTGCGGCGCCTACCGCAACAACTGCCACAGCTGCGTGCTGGCCCGGGACCCCTACTGCGGCTGGGCCAACGGCTCCTGCCTCCCGCTGGCCCTGCACCGGTGCGTGGGGCCACTCCCACCCCAGTCCCACCGGGAAAACACCCACACCCCCAGCATTGCCCTCCCGGGCTGAGTGCGCAAGTGGGTTTGGGGTGGATGCGCTGTCCGCGAAGGTTTGGGGTGCTCTGGGTGGATCCATCCCTCCTTTGAAGGGTTTTGGGCATGCAACCCCTCTCCCCAAGAGTTTGGGGTTCTCTCCATAGATCCCTCCCTCCCTTGGAGGGTTTTAGGCACTCCCAGAAGGTTTGGGGTGCTCTGGGTGGATCCGTCCTTCCTTTGAAGGGTTTTGGGCACCCAACTCTTCTCCCCGGAACTTTGAGGTTCTCTCCATAGATCCCTCCCTCCCTTGGATGGTTTTGGGCACCCAATCCCTCTCCCCAAAAGTTTGGGGTGCTCTGTGCAGATTCATCACTCCCTTGAAGGGTTTTGGGCACCCAAACATATTTTCCCAAAACCGTGAGTGCTCTGTATGGATCCATCCCTCCCTTGAAGGGTTTTGGGCACCCAGCCCCTGTCCCTGAAGTTTTGGGGTTCTCTGCATGGATCCCTCCCTCCCTTGGATGGTTTTGGGCACCCAATCCCTCTCCCCAAAAGTTTGGGGTGCTCTGTGCAAAATCATCAGTCCCTTGAAGGGTTTTTGGCACCCAACCTCTCTCCCCAAGACTTTGGGGTTCTCTGCATGGACCCATCCCTCCCTTTAAGGGTTTTAGGCACCCAGCCCCTCTCCCAGAAAGTGTGGGGTGCTCTGTGTGGATCCATCCCTCCCTTGAAGGGTTTTGGGCACCCAGCCCCTGTCCCTGAAAGTTTGGGATGCTCTGTATGGACCCATCTGTTCCTTGAAGGGTTTTCAGCACCCAGTCCCTTTCCCCAAAAGTTTGGGGTGCTCTGCATGGATCCATCCCTCCCTTGAAGGGTTTTGGGCACCCAGCCCCTGTCCCTGAAAGTTTGGGATGCTCTGTATGGACCCATCTGTTCCTTGAAGGGTTTTCAGCACCCAGTCCCTTTCCCCAAAAGTTTGGGGTGCTCTGCATGGATCCATCCCTCCCTTGAAGGGTTTTCAGCACCCAACCCCCGTCCTTGCTGCTGGGTCTCACGTGGGTCATCTCATCCATCCCTCCCTTGAAGGGTTTTGGGCACCCAGCCCCTGTCTCTGAAAGTTTGGGGTTCTCTCCATAGATCCCTCCCTCCCTTGAAGGATGTTGGGCACTCAACCCCTCTCCCCAAGAGTTGGAGGTGCTCTGTGTGGATCCATCCCTCCTTTGAAGGGTTTTCAGCACCCAGTCCCTCTCCCCAAAAGTTTGGGGTGCTCTGCATGGATCCATCCCTTCCTTGAAGGGTTTTCAGCACCCAACTCCTCTCCTTGAAAGTTTGGAGTGCTCTGCATGGATCCATCCCTCCCTTTAAGGGTTTTAGGCACCCAGCCCCTCTCCCAGAAAGTTTGGGGTGCTCTGCATGGATCCATCCCTTCCTTGAAGGGTTTTCAGCACCCAACCCCCGTCCTTGCTGCTGGGTCTCACGTGGGTCATCTCCAACCTTCTGAAATTGGGATGGGAGGGGGAGATTCCCGCTCATCCCACTGCTATGGGGGATTCCCATCCCTGAATTGCCGCTTCCCAAAGTTCTCTTGGTGCTTATTCCCATTCCCATCCTCCAGGGATGTGCTCCAGAACCTGAACTTGGACTCATGGCGAGGAAGCTGCCAGAGGGGCGACGTCAAGGAAGGTACACGGAGGTGTTGTGGCTGGGGAAGGAATTGTTGGATTCTCCAGGCTTTGGATGGGTTTGGATGGGTTGGATGGGTTTGGGTTGGTTTGGATGGGTTTGGATGGTTTTGGACGAGTTTGGCTGGGTTTGGATGAGTTTGGGAGGGTTTGAATGAGTTTGGAGGGGATTGGATGGGTTTGGATGGGTTTGGATGAGTTTGGCTGGGTTTGGATTCTCCAGGCTTTGGATGGGTTTGGATGAGTTTGGGTTGGTTTGGATGGGTTTGGGTTGGTTTGGATGGGTTTGGAGGGGATTGGATGGGTTTGGATGGGTTTGGATGAGTTTGGCTGGGTTTGGACAGGTTTGGATGGGTTTGGGAGGGTTTGGATGAGTTTAGATGGGTTTGGACAGGTTTGGATGAGTTTGGACGGGTTTGGACAGGTTTGGATGAGTTTGGATGGATTTGATTGAGTTTGGATAGGTTTGGATGGTTTTGGATGAGTTTGGATGGTTTTGGCTGGGTTTGGACAGGTTTAGATGAGTTTGGATGGGTTTGGATGGATTTGAATGAGTTTGGATGGGTTTGGATGGGTTTGGACAGGTCACTTGTCTTGGTTTGAAAGCCAGGTGTCTGCTGAGGAAGGCAGGAGTCTCCCCTGAAATGGAAAATGTAAACCCCCTCCCTCCAAATTATTAATACAATTTTGAAATTAAGGGGCTCTCAGGCAGAGACATGGGAGCAGGACTAACGGGGCAGAGCAGAAGTTTCGAGGAATTCTCTCTCAGAAGCCACCTCTGAGGCTTCCCCCACCCCACCAAAACCCAAACTACCCCCGACTAACCCAACCTCCCCCCGCTGCGTCCCCGCAGACGACTTCAGGAACATCTCGGTGATGCCCCTGTCCCGCTACTACCTCAACTGCTCCATCGAGTCCCACTACGCCACCTACAACTGGTACCACGAGGACGTGCTCATCAAGAGCTGCAACACCTCGCACCCGCAGCACGACTGCTTCCACTTCATCCCCAGCGTGCGGCGCGAGCACTACGGCCACTACGTGTGCGTGTCCGAGGAGGATGGCTTCCGCCAGGCGCTGGTCAAGGAGCGCCTGCTGGACCGCCAGCGCTTCCTGTGGCAGCGCGGCCGCGCCCCGGCCCCGCTGGCCTCGTGGCTGCAGCTGCTGCTCGTGGTGGCCCTGGCCGAGCTCTTCCACTGAGGCCGAGCCCTGCCCGCGGCCGCGGGGCTTTCCGCGGCTCCGTGCGCCCTCCGCGCCGCGGGGAGGGGGGACGCGGCCGGCCATGCATGCGCTGATGCTCGGGGCGAGGCCGCTCCTTGCATGTGATGAAGATGAGGAGGAGGAGGAAGAGGAGGAGCCGGCCCTCGGCCTCCGGGCTGCGGGGTGCCCGCGGGGGCCGCTGCCTCCCGAGGTTTTGGGGGGTGATGTTGGGGTGGGCAGCGGCTGGGGCACCCCCGGCGAGGCCCCTCCTGCTGCGGGGGGCTCGGAGGCCCGAGGGGGGCTCGGTTCGCTGGTTTTTGGTGTGGGAGGGAGGTCGGGAATCGGCGCCGCCGAGTGGGAATTTGCATGGAAAAGCCTCGGAGGGTGACTGGATTTGGGGTGTGGGGCGGGAAGGGGAGGTGGGAGCAGAGCCCGGAGCGGAGCGGGGGGCCCTGGGGGGATGCTGGAGACGCACAAATCCTCTGCGGGCAGCGGGGGCAGCGCAGGGCCGGGGCCGCTCCCACCCTGGCCCCGGCGTCCTCAGGGAAAGCGGCCGCGGATCTCAGGCACCGGGGGGCCGCGCCTGTCCCCCCTCTGTCCCTGTCCCCCCGGGCCGGGCCCGGGCTCCGCTCCCCCCGCGCTTTCGGAGGTCTCGGAGCGAGACTAAACTGTGAAAATCGGGATTTTCTCCCTGCAAAGGGGGGTCCCGCTCCTTGTCCCAAGCTTGCCCAGCCCGGAGCGGCCCGGCCCCGGGCGGGGACAGCCAGGGGACATCCCTGCCGTGCTTCCAATGCCTGTCCCGGCTCGGGAGAGCCCCGGGGCCAGGGGCAGCGGGCCAGAGCTTCCTACTGCACTACATCCCCGAGATGTTCCCGTGCCCAGCCCAGGACAGAGCTCACAGCCCTTCTCAAAGCACTTTAACTTTGTGGACTAACAGATATTTATTATATCGACTGCTCGTTTCTGTCTTGTAGGATTTTATAATATTACAGCAGGCGGGGGCGGATCACAGGAGAGGAAAATTTAAAAAACCCACCACAACAGCTACCAAAAAAAAAAAACCAACCAACCCCAACCCTTTCAGACCTGTAACCAAAGCGGATGGTTGGAATAAAGAGTGGAAGAAAAGCAGGAGAGTTCTCGCTGGGAGTGACGGGGCCGGGATCTCCCCCGGCCTTTTCCGTGTCCTGCTCTCTCCGGCCCCGGTTTTGCTGCTCCTGTTTCGGGCCAGCGGCAAATTCCCGCTGGAAATCCCAAAGGAGGGAGCGAGCAGCAGCCCTGGGCAGGGAGGGGCGGGAATAGTGGCGGGGGTCGTGCTGCGGAGCCTGCCTGGGATGCTCGGGATTTTTGGGAAAAGCGAGCTGGGAGGAAAAAGGGCTGGGGCTGGAGGCGGCGAGGAACGGGAACTGGGGATTTTGGAAGGTGCTAAAAAGGCAGGAGCGGAGGAAGCCTCCAGCAAATCCCCCGGCGCAGAGGCAGAGCCGGCTCGGGGCTTGTCCCGGTCCGTGCCCGCTCCTCCCGCTGCTCCTGCCGGGAATGTTTCGGGATGGGGGAAGGGACTGCGGTGACACAGCGCTGGGGACACGGCGGTGGCACTCACGGGGCGAGGTTTGGCAGCCGAAAGCGAAACCTTTCCCTGCCTCCATCCCTCCCTGGCACAGAATTCCCGCTGGCGCCGGGGCCGTGCGGGAAGGGAGGAGGCAGGAGCGGGGAATGGCGATTCCCGAGCCGGGAATTTCGGCAGCCCCGTGGGGTGGGAACGCGAGGAGCCCGGAGCCCGGGGGGAATTTTTGGGTGCAGCGCACGGACTCCGAGCTGTTCCCATTCCCAGCTCCACCGGCGGGACCCCAAATCTCCAAAATCCCTGGAAAGACGCTCGGGAGCAGCGCAGAAGAATTCCCACCCTGGAATGGGTGGGAGCGGGCGCAGGGAGCCAGAATTCCAGTTTGGCCGCCCCAAATCCCTTTCCTTGCCCAAAATCCCGGCTGAGAGCGGGGGCCGGAGTCCCCGGGTGACAGCGACACGGGCTCGCAGGACAAAGCAGCCAGGACAAACCGCGGAGGTTTTTGCCGGAATCCCCGAGGAAACAGCGCGGGCCGAGCCCTGCGGGTGTGTTTTATCCCGGGACACGCTCCCTGAAACCCGGCCAGCCAAAACCCGGGATTTGTTGTGGCCTCGGGGCTGCCCGGGGGAGCCGCGATGTCCCCGCGCTGTCACCTCGCTGTCGCGGGGGTTATTCTGGGATCTGAGCTCCAGCACATGGGGTCAGATATTCCAGCAGCCTCTCCAGGCTTTTCCCGGCACGGGCGGAGCAGCGGCGAGCAAAAACCACCAGGAGTTTTCGGGTTTTAACCCCAGGGCCATTTTTGGGGCTATTCCACGTGCTTCAAACAAAACCCACCAGGAGCCTTTGGGGTTTTAACCCCAGGATGATTTTTGGGGCTATTCTGTGCTCTTTCCCAGGACGAGGGAAGAGATGGATCTGACTCCATGTTCTCAGAAGGCTGATTTATTATTTTATGATATTATATTATATTAAAAGAATGCTATAAAAACTATACTAAATTATATAGAGAAAAGAAAAGGATACATCAGAAGGTTTAACAATAATGACAATGAAAACCCGTGACTCCTTCCAGAGTCCTGGCACAGCCCGACAGTGATTGGTCATTAAGTCAGAACAATTAACATGGAGCCAATCAAGCGTGCACCTGTTGGTAAACGATGTCCAAACACATTCCACAGCAGCGAAACACGGGAGAAGCAGCTCGGGTAATTATTGCTGTCATTTTTCTCTGAGGCTTCTCGGCTTCCCGGGAGAGAAATCCTGAGGAGGGATTTTTCAGAAAATATCTCAGTGACGTTATTGCACACGCTTCAAACAAAACCCACCAGGAATGGTTGGGGTTTTAATCCCAGGGTCATTTTTGGGGCTGTTCCAAATGCTTCAAACAAAACCCACCAGGAATGGTTGGGGTTTTAATCCCAGGGTCATTTTTGGGGCTGTTCCAAATACTTCAAACAAAACCCAGCAGGAATGGTTGGGGTTTTTAATCCCAGGGCCATTTTTGGGGCTGTTCCAGCCCGGGGGCTGCTCCAGGAGGAGGATTTGTGTGTGGGAGCATCCTGTGTCCCCATGGAGTCCGGGCAGGGACAGGGAGGGATCCAGGTGGGATCTGAGGGGATCCAGTGGGATCTGAGAGGGCCCAGGTGGGATCCAGGTGGGATCCAGGTGGGATCTGAGGGGATCCAGGTGGGATCTGAGGGGGTCCAGGTGGGATCTGAGGGGGATCCAGGTGGGATCTGAGGGGGTCCAGGTGGGATCTAAGGGGGATCCAGGTGGGATCCAGGTGGGATCCAGGTGGGATCTGAGGGGATCCAGGTGGGATCTGAGGGGGATCCAGGTGGGATCCAAAAGGGATCGAGGTGGGATCTGAGGGGATCCAGGTGGGATCCAGGTGGGACACGGGCCGGGCGGAGCAGGGAGAGCGGTCCGAGCGGGAACCGCGGCGCTTTCGGGGAAATGAGATGGCCCGGGAGAAACCGGGGGAAGTAAAACTCGGGATCATCCCACAGCAGCCCCTTCCTCTTCCTCCTCCTCCTCCCCCCGTGGGCTGGGACGCCCCAAACCCCGAAGGCCTCTCAGCTGTGAACCCCGGCAATAAAGGAGCGAGCAGAAATTCATTTTAACGGAGAAAGGGAATAAACCCCTCAGTTTTAAAATTCCAGTTTCACCTCAAAGCCCACCCTGGACCCCCCTCTGGATCTGGAGCGTCCCCAAATCCCTGAGGGGTGCTGAGGAGGAGGGTGAGCCTTCCTCCGTTTGCCACCCAAACGTTTCATTTTCAACACGATTGGGACAAAAATGAGTCCCGGGGGTTCTGGGGGGGATTTCACCGCCGGGGTTTTCCCGGAGGAGGAGCCCGGCATGAAAACCCTGCGGGGAAAGGAAGAAATTGGGGGGAAATCCCTCAAATCCAGCGGGGAACCGAGCGGGATGGAGCCCCAGAGGGACCCTGTGGGGCGGGGGGGTCTCTGTGGGGCAGGAGGGTCCCTCTATAGGGCAGAGGAGCCTCTGTGGGGCAGGAGGGCCCCACTGTAGGATTTATGGGGCAGGGGGGTCCCTATAGGACAGTGGGGGTCTCTATGGGGCAGAGAGCTCCCTCTAGGGCTTTCTATGGGGCAGGGAGGTCTCTACAGGTCAGGGGGATCCCTGTGGGGCAGGAGGGTCTGTGTAGGGCAGGGGGGTCCCTCTATAGGGCAGAGGAATCTTTGTGGGGCAGGAGGGCTCCTCTGTAGGATTTATGGGGCGGGGGCGTCCCTGTAGGACAGGGGTGCATCTATGGGGCAGAGAGGCCCTTATGGGGTTTTCTGTGGGGCAGGGTGTTCCCTCTGGAGGTCCCTATAGGGCTTTCTATGGGGCTGGGAGGTCTCTGTAGGACAGGGACACATCTACGGGGTAGGAGGGTTCTATGGGGCAGAGGGGTCCCTGTAGGGTTTTCTGTGGGGCAGGGGGGTCTCTGTGGGGCAGGGTCCCACCGAGAAAGTCCTTATAGGATTTCTGTAGGGCAGAGGGGTCCCTGAGCTGCTGCTGTAGGGCAGGGAGCTCTCTATAGGGCAGGGGGATCTCTGTGGGGCAGAGAGGTCTCTATAGGGCTTTCTATGGGGCAGGGAGGTCCCTGTAGGGTTTCTATGGGGCAGGGGGTCTCTGTGGGTCAAGGGGGGTCTCTGTGGGGAAGGCCCCCACAGAGAAAGCCCTTATAGGGTTTCTGTGGGGCAGGGGGGTCCCTATAAAGTATCTATGGGGGAGGAAAGTCCCTATAGGGTTTCTATGGGGCAGGGAGGTCTCTGTAGGGTTTCCGTGGGGCAGAGGAGTCCCTGAGCTGCTCTGTGGGGCAGGAATGTCCCTATAGGGTTCCTATGGCGCAGGGAGATCTCTATAGGTTTTCTATGGGGCAGGGAGGTCCCTATAGGGTATTTATGGGACAGGGAGGTCTCTGTGGGGTTTTTGTGGGGCAGAAGGGTCTCTATAGGGTTTTCTGTAGGGCAGGGAGGTCTGTATAGGGTATTTATGGGACAGGGAGGTCTCTGTGGGGTTTTTGTGGGGCAGAAGGGTCTCTATAGGGTTTTCTGTAGGGCAGGGAGGTCTGTATAGGGTATTTATGGGACAGGGAGGTCTCTGTAGGGTTTCTGTGGGGCAGAGAGGTCTCTGTGGGGTTTCTGTGGGGCAGGGAGGTCTCTGTGGGGTTTCTGTGGGGCAGAGGAGTCCCTGAGCTGCTCTGTGGGGCAGGGAGGTCCCTGTAGGGTTTCTGTGGGGCAGAGGGGTCCCTGTGCAGCAGGGGCAGTTTCGGGGTCAGGAAGCGAAGCCGCAGCTCCAGGCTCGGGCCCCCGGGGAGGTGGCAATGTCCCCTGAGTGTCCCCTCCGGGCCATCCCATCCCATGGGCTCGGGGGACAGAGACCCCAAATCCCTTCCCGCCCCCAAATCCCGCTGCAGCGGGGCGTGCCCGGGTCCCCCGGGGGAGGGGTGGCCCTGGTGTCACCCGCTGGCCCCGGGCTCGGGGGGCAGAGACCCCAAATCCCTTCCCGGCCCCAAATCCCTTCCCAGCCCCAAATCCCGCTGCAGTGGGGCGTGCCCGGGTCCCCCGGGGGAGGGGTGGCCCTGGTGTCACCCGCTGGCCCCAGAGGTGACAAACCCCGCGGTGTCACCTCCCCCGCGCGGCCGGAGCGCTGCGGAGGGGCCGCTGGTGGCGGCGGGGGTGGCACTGGGGACAGGGCCACGCGGGGAGGTGACACCGCGGGGAGGTGACGCGGCTCTGTCCCCGCTCCTGTCACCGCGGCTGGGGACGAAGTGTCGCCGCGGGTCCCTTGGCACCGCCGAGCCCTTCCAGAGCCCCCGGCAGGGGACGCGGCTGTCCCCTCGAGCTCCGCGGGTGGCAGAAAGCTCGGTGGCTTCTCCGGGCGGGGACAAGGGCAGGACCCGTGAGGGGACACCCGTGTGACAGGGGACACCTCTGTGACAGGGGACACCGGTGTGACAGGCGACACTTGTGTGACAGGGGACACCTCTGTGGCAGGGGACACCGGTGTGACAGGGGACACCCGTGTGACAGGGACACCCGTGTGACAGGGGACACCGGTGTGACAGGGGACACCGGTGTGACAGGGGACACCCGTGTGACGGGGACACCTCTGTGACAGGGGACACCCGTGTGACAGGGGACACCCGTGTGACAGGGGACACTGGTGTGACAGGGGACACCCGTGTGACAGGCGACACTCACAGGGGCGGTGCTGGCGTGTCCCCACCCTGCGGGAAGGGGCTGCAGGGGGTGCGGAGGTGACACACTGATGCGCTGTGACATCAGGGGTGGGGACAATGGCTCGGCGTGGAGCTGCGTGTCCCTCGGTGTCCCTCCGTGTCCCCTAGTGTCCCTTCATGACCCTCGGTGTCCCTCGGTGTCCCTCTGCATCTCTCTGTGTCCCTCAGTGTCCCCCCGTGTCCTTCCATGTCCCTCTATGTCCCTTGGTGTCCCTGAGTGCCCCTCAATGTCCCTCGGTGTCCCCCAGTGTCTGTCGGTGTCTCTCCATGTCCTGCACTGTCCCTCCTTGTCCCTCGGTGTCCCCCAGTGTCTCCCAGTGTCCCTCCTTGTCCCTCGGTGTCCCCTGGGCCCTGCCCCGTGTCCGTGGCAGGAGGGGACACAGCGGGTCCCCCCCGGACGGTGACAGTGCAGGGGGACAGGAGGGGTGGCACTGTGCCACCATGTCCCCAGGGCGTGGGGCTGCAGTGGGGTTTGGGGCTGGGCCAGCAGTGGGGACAGGGACAGCAGGGGACAGGTCCTGGCCCTGGAGAGGTGACAGGAGGGGACAGGGACCATGGGGCAGGAGGGGACAGCCCGTGTGGCCCGGCAGGGGACAGCGCTGTCCCCGCGGTGGCACTGACGGGCCCGGCGCGCCCCCCGGTGCTTGTCGCCGGTGTCGCATCCGCCGCCAGCCCCGCTCGGGGTCCCTGTCCCGGGGACACCCCAGAGAGGGGACCCCGTGTCCCCTCCCCACGGTGCCCCACCCCAGCGGGAACTGTCGCACCTGGGGACAGGGGACAAGGGACAAGGGACAAGGGACAAGGGACAAGCTTCGTCCCCGGCTCGGGACACCCCAAAAGCCGTTCCCTGCTCCCACGGGGAGTTTGGGGTTTGGGATTTGGGTTTGGGATTTGGAGTTTGGGATTTGGGGCTTGGGATTTGGGGTTTGGAATGTGGGGTTTGGGATTTGGAGTTTGGGATTTGGGGTTTGGGATTTGGGGTTTGAGATTTGGGGTTTGAGATTTCGAGTTTGGAGTTTGGGGTTTGGGGTTCGGAGTTTGGGATTTGGGGTTGGGGTTTTGGGTTTGAGGTTTGGGATTAGGGGTCTGGGATTTGGGACTGGGGATTGGGATTTGGGGTTTGGGATTTGGGGTTTGGGATTTGGAGTTTGGGATTTGGGGTTGGGGATTAGGGATTGGGGATTAGGGGTTTGAGATTTGGGGGTTTGGAGTTTGGGGTTTGGGTTTGGAATTAGGGGTTTGGGATTTGGGATTGGGGATTAGGGGTTTGAGATTTGGGATTGGGGAATAGGGGTTTGAGATTCGGGGGTTTGGAGTTTGGAGTTTGGGATTTGGGGTTTGGGTTTGGAATTAGTGATTTGGTGTTTGGGATCAGGGTTTGCTGTCCGGGATTTGGGACGGAGCCCTCAATGCCGAGCCCGCCCCCGGCACGTGAGGCGCCCCCAGCAGTGGCACCGAGTCCCCAAGGCCACCCCCGGCGGGGTGACCCTGGCTGGCGGCCCCCAAGGCTGTCGCGGCCGGGGTGACGCGCCCCGTGCCTCGTTATCATTTTTGGGGCACATCCCTCCCTTCCGCCAAGGCCACCGTGTCACCTGGCGGCGGCGGGGCTGTCCCCGCGGGGCGGGGCGGGACCAGCTCGGCATAAGAGCGAGGTCCCCGCGTCCCTCGGGGCCACCTCCCCATGCTCGCCCAAGCTGTCACCCTGCGGGGATGTCCCCGAGCCGCAGCCGCGCGGGGTCGCTGGCTCGGGGGGGCTGCGGGCGCCGTCCCCCCGGCTGTCCCCCCGGCTGTCCCCCCCGCTGTCCCCCCGGCTGTCCCCGCTGTCCCCAGGCCCTTTGACCAGGTGCCCGGCGAGTGGCGGGCGGGCTGGCTCAGCCTGTACCGCTTCTGGCAGCAGGGCGGCCTGGGCACGCTGCACCTCAGCATGGCGCGCAACTTCCAGCGCTTCGGGCCCATCTACAGGTCAGGCGGTGTGGCCTCCGCGTGTCCCCTCCGTGTCCCCTCCCTGTGTGCCCTGTCCCTGTCCCCTCCCCGTGTGCCCTGTCCCTGTCTGCTCCCCGTGTCCCCTGCCCCTGTCACCCCCCTGTGTGCCCTGCCCGCTCCTCTGCTCCTGTCCCCTCCCCGTGTCCCCTCCCCTCTGTGTCGCCTCCTGTGTCCCCTCCCTGTGTGCCCTGTCCCTGTCTGCTCCCCGTGTCCCCTGCCCCTGTCACCCCCCTGTGTGCCCTGCCCGCTCCTCTGCTCCTGTCCCCTCCCCGTGTCTCCTCCCCACGTCCCCTCCCTGTGTTCCCTGCCCGGTCCCCTGCCTCTGTCCCCACCCGTGTCCCCCACAGTGTCCCCAGCCCGTGTCCCCTCCCTGTGCCCACCCCCCGTGTCGCCTTCCGATCCTCTGCCCGTGTACTCTCCTCCTGTCCCCTCCTTGTGTCTTGTCCCCGAGTCCCCTGCTCGTGTCCCCTCCCTGTGTCCCCTCTCCTTGTGTCCTCTCCCATGTCCCCTGCCCTGTCCCCTGCTCGGTCCTCTCCCCGTGTACTCCCCTCGTGTCCCCAGCCCCTGTCCCCTGCTCCTTCTCCCTCCCCCTGTCCCCTGCCCGGTGCCCTGCCCGTGTCCCCTCTCGTGTCCCCTTCCCTGTGCCTCCTGCCCGCGTCTCCTCCCCGCATCGCCTCCTCGCTCCCCTGCTCGTGTCCCTCCCGTGTCCCCTGCCTGCTCCCCTGCCCATGTCCCCTCCCTGTGTGCCCCCACCCGTGTCCCCTCCACCTGTCCCCTGCCCGCTCCTCTCCCGTGTCCCCTCCCGTGTCCCCTCCCGTGTCCCTCCCGTGTCCCTCCCGTGTCCCCTCTTTGTGTCCCCTCCCGTGTCCCCTCCCGTGTCCCCTGCTGTCCCCAGCCCAGCCCCGCTCCCAGTCCGGGGCTGAGCTGCTGGAGGAGCCTGGCCCGGCTTGGGGACACCGTGAGGGACAAGAGGGGAGGGGACAGGGACCGCGGGGTGGGAGGGACAGGTCCTGTGCCCAGGGAGGGGACAGGGAACTTGGGACGAGATTTGGGGACAGGTCCTGTGCCCAGGGAGGGGACAGGGAACTTGGGACGAGATTTGGGGACAGGTCCTGTGCCCAGGGAGGGGACAGGGAACCTGGAGCAGGGGGACACATGTAGGGCCCAGGGAGGGGACAGGGACTGAGGGGCGTGAGGGGGAAAGGGCTGTGAAGGTCAAGAGGGGACAGGGACTGTGGGTCAGGGGGACATCCCCCGTGCCCTGGGAGGGGACTGGGACTGTGGGACAGGGCCCTGTGGATGAGGGATTTGGGGATAATGGGGACAGGACACTGCCATGGGGACAGGACAGGACACTGCCATGGGGGCAGGACAGGACATTGCCATGGGGACAGGACACTGCCATGGGGACAGGACAGGACACTGCCATGGGGGCAGGACAGGACACTGCTGTGGGGAGAGGGTAGGGCATTGCCATGGGGACAGGAGAAGACATTGCCATAGGGACAGGACACTGCCATGGGGACAGGACAGGACACTGCCATGGGGGCAGGACAGGACACTGCCATGGGGGCAGGACAGGACATTGCCATGGGGACAGGACACTGCCATGGGGACAGGACAGGACACTGCTGTGGGGAGAGGGTAGGGCATTGCCATGGGGACAGGAGAAGACATTGCCATAGGGACAGGACACTGCCATGGGGACAGGACAGGGCATTGCCATGGGGACAGGACAGGGCACTGCCGTGGGGACAGGCCATGGCCATGGGGACAGGACAGGGCACAGCCGTGGGGACAGGACAGGGTAGGGCACTGCTGTGGGGACAGGCCATGGCCATGGGGACAGGACAGGGCATTGCCGTGGGGACAGACCACTGCCATGGGGACAGGACATTGACATGGGGACAGGACAGGCCATGGCCATGGGGACAGGACAGGGCACTGCCGTGGGGACAGGCCCTGGCCATGGGGACAGGGTAGGGCACTGCCGTGGGGACAGGCCCTGGCCATGGGGACAGGGTAGGGCACTGCCGTGGGGACAGGACAGGACACTGCCATGGGGACAGGACAGGCCACTGCCGTGGGGACAGGCCATGGCCATGGGGACAGGGTAGGGCACTGCCATGGGGACAGGCCCTGGCCATGGGGACAGGACAGGGCACTGCCGTGGGGACAGGCCATGGCCATGGGGACAGGACAAGGCACTGCCGTGGGGACAGGACAGGGCACTGCCGTGGGGACAGGACAGGGCACTGCCGTGGGGACAGGCCGCCCCCAGGGCACTGGCGCTGCTGGTCCCCAGGGAGAAGCTGGGCGTGTACGAGAGCGTGAACATCATCAGCCCCGCGGACGCGGCCACGCTGTTCCAGGCCGAGGGGGCCCTGCCCGAGCGCTTCCGCGTGCCCCCCTGGGTGGCCTACCGCGACTTCCGCAACAAACCCTACGGCGTGCTGCTCAAGTGAGTGGGGACCCCAAAGCCCCAGGGGCACCCCAACCCTCCGGGGAGGGGGACCTCAAATCCGGGCTCCTCAAGGGAGTGGGGACCCCGAATCCCCAGCAGTGGGGACCCCAAACCCAAGCTCCTCAAGCGAGTGGGGACACCAAATTGGCCCTGGACACTCCTCCAGCAAGTGGGGACCCTAAATTTGGGCTCCTCAAGGAGTGGAAACCCCAAATCCCGGCTCCTGACACTCCTCCAGTGAGTGGGGACCCCAAATCCAGGCTCCTCAAGGAAGTGTGGGCCCTAAATCCCCTCCAGTAAGTGGGGACCCCAAATCCTCTTCAGTGATTTGGGATCCTAAATCTGGGCTCCTCAAGTGAGTGGGGACCCCAAGTCTGTTCTCAAGTGAGTGGGGACCCCAAATCCCCAGAAGTGAGAACCCCAAACCCAGGCTCCTCAAGCGAATGCTGACCCCAAATTCCTTCCAGTGAGTGGAGACCCCAAGCCTGGGCTCCTCAACTGAGTAGGGACCCCAAATCTGGTCTCCTCTAGTGAGTGGGGATGACAAATCCCCTCCAAAGAGTGTGGACCCCAAATCTGGGCTTCTCAAGTGACTGGGGACCCCAAATCTCCTCAAGTCATTGGGGAACCCTAAATCCCCCTCAAGTGACTGGGGACCCCAAATCCAGGCTCATCAATTGACCCCAAACCCCAAGGAGTGGGGACCTCAAATCTGGCCTCCTGTCACTCCTCAAGTGATTGGGGATCCCAAATCCCCTGCAGCGAGTGGAGACCACAAGTCTGGGCTCCTCATATGAGTGCAAACCCTAAATCCCCTCCATTGAGTGGGGACCCCAAAACCGGGCTCCTCAGGTGAGTTGGGAGCCGAAATCCCCAGAAGTGGGGTCCCCAAACCTGGGCTACTCAAGTGAGTGGGGACCCCAAATCCCCTCCAGTGAGTGCTGACCCCAAACCCGGGCTCCTCAGGTGATTGGGGGACCCCAAATCTGGGCTCCTGCCGTGACAGTCCCAGGGCAGGGCGCGGGTGCGGCCGGAGGGCGTTGGGGACCCTGGCCGTGTTTTGGGGACATTGGCCGTGTTTGGGACCTTGGCCGCGCTTTGGGGCCCTGGGCCGCGTTTTGGGGCCCTGGGCCGTGTTTTGGGGTGCCCTGGGCCGTGTTGTTGGGCCCTGGGCCGTGTTTTGGGGACATTGGCCGTGTTTTGGGGCCCTGGGCTGTGTTTTGGGGACATTGGCCATGTTTTGGGGACATTGGCCGTGTTTTGGGGACATTGGCTGTGTTTGGGGACATTGGCCGTGTTTTGGGGTGCCATGGGCTGTGTTTTGGGGCTCTGGGCCGTGTTTTGGGGCCTTGGGCTGTGTTTTGGGGACATTGGCCGTGTTTTGGGGCCCTGGGCCATATTTTGGGGCCCTGGGCCGTGTTTTGGGGTGCCCCTCCCAAAAGCCCAACCCTCCACAAAAAAACCCCCAAAACCCTCCAAACCCAAAAAACCCCCAAAACCCCAACAGCCCACCCAAAAAAACCCCAAAAGCCCCCAAAAATCCAAATTCCCCCCGAAAAACCCAAAACCCCAAAAACCCACAAACCCTAAAAAACTGAACCCTCCCCAAAAAACCCCTAAAAATTCCAAAGTCAGCAAAACCCTCAAAAAACCCTAACCCCCCCAATGCCCCAAAAAACAAACAAGCCCCCAAAAAAATTCCCCAAACCCCTAAAAGCCCCAAAACTAAAAAAAAAAAACCAACCAAAAACAAAACAAAACAAAAAAAACCCAAAAAACCAAAACCCCCAAAAGACCCCAAAAAAACTCCCAAAAAACCCTAGAACTCCCAAAAAACCACCAGCCCCAGCCTCAGGCATTGGCCAAAGGACAGCAAAGAAGGGTGCCCTCTCCCCGGGTGGCCTGTCCCCTCCCCGGGTGGCCTGTCCCCTCACTAGGTGTGCTGTCCCCTCCCTAGGTGTGCTGTCCCCTCCCCGGGTGTGATGTCCCATCCCCGGGTGTGATGTCCCCTCCCCGGGTGGCCTGTCCCCCAGAGCAGCCTTTTGTCCTCTCGTGGCCCCCAGCTGGTGACATCCCAGCCCCTCAGGGACAAACAGGAGGCCAAGCCAGGTCTCCATGGCCACGGCAAGGCTGGAGGTGGCCTTGGGGACAGGGACGTGTCCCTGGTGCTCACTGGGAGCGCCTGGGCCAGGTCTCCGTGGCCTTGGGGACAAGGACAGGTCCCTCGCAGCCACTTGGAGCACCTGGGGCCGGTCGCTGTGGCCATGGGGACAGGGATAGGGACAGGACATGTTCCTGATTGTCCCCGTCCCCAGCCACGTGCCGTGTGCTGTACGGGAGTGCCTGGAGCTGGTCCTTGTGGCCTTGGGGACACGTCCCTGACTGTCCCTGTCCCCATCCCCAGTGGTGTGCCACGTGCTGTACGGGGAGGTCCTTGTGGCCCTGGGGACTGGTACAGGGACAATGACATGTCCCTGACTGTCCCTGTCCCTGTCCCTGTCCCCAGTGGTGTGCCATGTGCTGGGGAGGTCCCTGTGGCCATGGGGACACGTCCCTGACTGTCCCTGTCCCCGTCCCATCCCCAGCAGGGTGCCACGTGCTGTACAGGGAGGTCCCTGTGGCCATTGGGATGAGGACAATGACAATGACATGTCCCTGACTGTCCCTGTCCCCATCCCCTGCTGTGTGCCATGCACTGTACGGGGAGATCCCAGTGGCCATGGCCATGGGGACAGGAACAATGACATGTCCCTGACTGTTCCTGACTGTCCCTGATTGTCCCTGACTGTCCCTGTTCCCAGCAGGGTGCCACATGCTGTACAGGGGAAGGTCCTTGTGGCCATGGGGATGGGGACAATGACAATGACAATGACAATGACAATGACAATGACACGTCCCTGACTGTCCCTGTCCCGTCCCCAGCGGTGGGGCAGCGCCTGGGGTTGTTCCTTGTGGCCATGGGAATGAGGACAATGACAACGACAACGACAACGAAAACGACAACAACAACGACAATGACAACGACAACGACAATGACGTGTCCCTGTCTGTCCCCAGCGGTGTGCCACGTGCTGTACGGGGAGCACCTGGGGCTGATCCCTGTGGCCATGGAGATGAGGACAATGACAATGACAATGACAATGTCAATGTCAATGACAATGACAATGTCAATGACAATGACAATGACAACGACAATGACAATGTCAATGACAATGACGTGTCCCTGTCTGTCCCCAGCGGTGTGCCACGTGCTGTACGGGCAGCGCCTGGGGCTGCTGCAGGATTTCGTGCAGCCCGAGGCACAGCGCTTCATCGAGGCCGTGTCGCGCATGTTCCACACCACGGCGCCCATGCTGTACCTGCCGCCCGCGCTGCTGCGGCGCCTGCGCAGCCGCACCTGGCGCCAGCACGTGCAGGCCTGGGACGCCATCTTCTACCAGGGTCAGTGCCACCCGCCACCTCCCTGTCACCTCACCCTGACACCTCTGGGGACACTCGCCCTGTCATCTTGTCCTGCCACCTCGTCCTGTCACCTCACCCTGCTAGCTCGCCCTATCACCTCTGGGGACATCTCTGGGGACACCTCTGGGGACACCTTGCCCTGCCACCCTGCCCTGCCACCTCACCCTGTCACCTCTGGGGACACCTTGCCGGGACATCTCGCCCTGTCATGTGACCCTGTCAGCCCGCCCTGCCACCTCTGGGGTCACCTCACCCTGCCACCTCTGGGGACACCTCACCTTGTCATCCCATCCTGCCACCTTGCCCTGTCACCTCTGGGGACACCTTGCCCTGTCACCTCTGGGGACACCTTACTCTGCCACCTCTGGGGACACCTTGCCCTGCCACCTCACCCTGCCACCTCTGGGGACACCTCGCCTGGTCACCCTGCCCTGCCACCTCACCCTGTCAGCTTGCTCTGTCACCTCATTCTGTCACCTCACCCTGCTAGCTCACCCTATCACCTCTGGGGACATCTCTGGGGACACCTCTGGGGACACCTTGCCCTGCCACCCTTCCCTGCCACCTCACCCTGTAGCACGTGCAGGCCTGGGACGCCATCTTCTACCAGGGTCAGTGCCACCCGCCACCTCCCTGTCACCTCACCCTGACACCTCTGGGGACACCTCGCCCTGTCACCTCGTCCTGTCACCTCACCCTGCCACCTCTGGGGACACTCGCCCTGTCATCTTGTCCTGCCACCTCGTCCTGTCACCTCACCCTGCTAGCTCGCCCTATCACCTCTGGGGACATCTCTGGGGACACTTCTGGAGACACCTTGCCCTGCCACCCTGCCCTGCCACCTCACCCTGTCACCTCTGGGGACACCTTGCCATGCCATCTCACCCTGTCATGTGACCCTGTCAGCCCGCCCTGCCACCTCTGGGGTCACCTCACCCTGCACCCTGCCACCTTGTCTTGTCACCTCACCCTGCCACCTCACCCTGCCACCTCTGGGGACACCTTGCCATGCCGTTTCACCCTGTCATGTGACCCTGTCAGCCCGCCCTGCCACCCCTGGGGACACTTCTGAGGACACCTCGGGGGACACCTCACCCTGTCACCTCTGGGGACACCTCACTCTGCCACGTCTGCGGTCACCCCATAACCATTCCTCCACCTCTCAGCCTTTCCCAATCACCCCACAGACACCCAAACCAATCACACAAACACCCCCATAAATCCCGCTGCAGCCCGTCCTCCATCGTTCCGTTTCTCCAAACACCCAACCTTCCTTCAAAACCTCCTCCAAAACTTATTTCTGACCCAACCTTCCTTCAAAACCTCCTCCAAAACTTATTTCCGACCCAACCTTTCTTACAAAACCATCCCCAAAACTTATTCTGACCCAACCTTTCTTCAAAAACTCCTCCAAAACTTATTTCTGGCCCAACCGTTCTTACAAAACCTCCCCCAAAACTTATTTCTGACCCAACCTTCCTTCAAAACCTCCTCCAAAACTTATTTCTGATCCAGCTTCTCTCTCAGCATTGTCCATCCTCTTCCCCAACATTTCTAAATCAACATTTCTTACCTCAAAATTTACGTGTAGATATTAAACTTTTCTACAAATCCATTTCCCGTACGCGGCCACCTCTGGGAGGTTTCAGCTCCGCGGTGAAGCCGCTCCCACGGCGGTGACACTGATGCGTCCCCGGGGTGTCCCTGTGTCCCCTCAGCGGACCAGTGCATCCAGAACGTGTACCGGGACCTGCGGCTGCGGCGCAGGAGCAGCCGGGAGCACGTGGGCATCCTGGGCAACCTCATCCTGCGCGACAAGCTGCCCCTGGACGACATCCGCGCCAGCGTCACCGAGATGATGGCCGGAGGCGTGGACACGGTACGGGCCCGGGGACGGGACAGGGAGAAGGTCCTGGGTGGGGACGGGACAGGGAGAAGGTCCTGGATGGGGACGGGACAGGGAGAAGGTCCTGGGTGGGGACGGGACAGGGAGAAGGTCCTGGATGGGGATGGGACAGGGAGAAGGTCCTGGCTGCTGATGGGTCAGGCAGGGAGAAGGTCCTGAGTGGTGATAGGTGGGACACGGAGGGAGAAGGTCCTGGATGGGGCAGGGAGAAGGTCCTGGTTGGCAAAGGGAGAAGGTCCTGGATGGTGATGGGTGGGACAGGGAGGGAGAAGGTCCTGGATGGGGCAGGGAGAAGGTCCTGGCTGGTGATGGGTGGGGTAGGGAGAAAGTCCTGCTTGGTATTGGGACAGGCAGGGGAAGGTCTTGGTTGGTGATTGGTGGGACAGGGAGAAGGTCCTGGTTGGTGATGGGTGGGGCAGTGCCAAGTCAGGGAGGAGAAGGTCTTGACAGCACCGAGCAGGTCCTGGCAGATCTGAGCAAGTCCTGACAACCCTGAGCAGGTCCTGGCAGCTCTGAGCAGGTCCTGGCAGGCAGCTCTGAGCAGGTCCTGAAAGGGCTGAGCAGGTCCTGACAGCCCTGAGCAGGTCCTGGCAGCACCGAGCAGGTCCTGGCAGGGCTCAGCAGGTCCTGACAGCACTAAGCAGGTCCTGGCAGCCTTGAGCATGTCCTGGCAGCTCTGAGCAGGTCCTGGCAGGGCTGAGCAGGTCCTGGCAGCTCTGAGCAGGTCCTGGCAGCGCCGAGCAGGTCCTAGCAGGGTTCAGCAGACCCTGGCAGGGCTCAGCAGGTCCTGGCAGGGCTGAGCAGGTCCTGACAGCCCTGAGAAGGTCCTGGCAGCTCTGAGCAGGTCCTGACAGCACTGAGCAGGTCCTGACAGCCTTGAGCATGTCCTGGCAGCTCTGAGCAGGTCCTGACAGCACCAAGCAGGTCCTGGCAGCTCTGAGCAGACCCTGGCAGCTGCGTGCCCCGTGTCTGTCCCCAGACGTCCATGACCCTGCAGTGGGCCATGCTGGAGCTGGCGCGGGCCCCGGGCGTGCAGGAGCAGCTGCGGGCAGAGGTCCTGGCAGCCAAGCGCGAGACGGGCGGCGACCGCGAGAAGATGCTGAAATCCACACGGTGAGGAGGGGCCGCTCAGGTGAGGAGGGCACACCGCCCTCCCCGGGGTGTCCCCAAAGCCCGCGGTGGCACGTGTCGCGCAGGCTGCACCCGGTGGCCGTGACCCTGCAGAGGTACACCACGCACGAGGTCATCCTGCAGGACTACCGCATCCCGCCCGGGGTGAGGGACACCGGGACACCGGGACACGGGGACACGGGGACAGGGAGACAGGGGGACAGTGGGGACAGGGGGACAGGGGGACATGGGGACATGGGGACATGGGGATGGTGGTGACACGGGGACACGGGGATGTGGGGACACAGGAACAGGGGGACACAGGAACATGGGGACAGGGGGGGGGAGGTGGGGATACGGGGAGATGGAGATGCAGGGACACAGGGAAATGGGGACACAGGGAGGGGGGGACACAAGAATGTGGGGAGAGTGGGACACGGGGACAGGGGGGCGTGGGGACACGAGGACACTGGGATGTGGGGATGCAGGGACACAGGGAAATGGGGACACAGGGACACAAGGACATGAGGACATGAGGATGTAAAACGAGGACACGAGGACATGAGAACACAGGGGCATGGGGACATGGGGATGTGAGGGGACACAGAGACACAGGGAGGCAGGGACATGAGGACATGAGGACACAAGGACATGAGTACATGATGATACAAGGACATGAGGACATGGGATATGGGGACATGGGAACATGGGGACATGAGGACATGAGGACATGAGGACACGAGGACATGAGGACATGAGGACATGATGATACAAGGACACAAGAACATGGAGACAAGGATCGGGGACACGAGGACATGAGGACACAAGGACATGAGTACATGGGTACATGATGATACAAGGACATGGTGATACAAGGACACAAGGACACAGGGACATGGGAACATGGGGACATGAGGACACGAGGATACGGGGACATGAGGACATGATGATACAAGGACATGAGGACCTGGAGACACAAGGATCGGGGACACGAGGACATGAGGACACAAGAACATGAGGACATGATGATACAAGGAGATGATGATACAAGGACACGAGGACACGGGAACATGGGAACATGGGGACACAAGGATGTGGGGACATGAGGACACGAGGACACGAGGACATGATGATACAAGGACACGAGAACATGGAGACACAAGGATCAGGGACATGAGGACATGAGGACATGATGATACAAGGACATGAGGACACGGGGACATGAGTACATGATGATACAAGGACATGATGATACAAGGACACAAGGACACAGGGACGTGGGAACATGGGGACATGAGGACACAAGGATACGGGGACACGAGGAATGAGGACACAAGAACATGAGGACATGATGATACAAGGACATGAGGACACGGGAACATGGGGACACAAGGACATGAGGACACAAGAACATGAGGACATGTCCATCCTGCGGGATCCCTGATGCGAGGTGACAGAGCGGTGACCATGGGGTCCATCACACAGGTCCCCAACATGAGGTGACAGCATGGTGACCATGGGGTCTGTCCTGCAGGTCCCTGACATGAGGGGACAACGTGGTGGCCGTGGGGTCTGTCCTGTGGGTCCCCAACATGAGGGGACAGCGCGGTGGCTCCAGGCTCTGTCCCCACATGAGGGGACAGTGTGGTGACCATGGGGTCTGTCCCCATTGAGTCCCTGACACGAGGGGACAGCGCGGTGGCTGCAGGGTCTGTCCCCATGGAGTCCCCAACATGAGGGGACAGCGTGGTGGCTCCAGGCTCTGTCCCCACATGAGGGGACAGTGTGGTGACCGTGGGGTCTGTCACAAAGGTCCCTAACATGAGGTGACAGCACAGTGACCATGGGGTCTGTCCCCATGGGGTCCCTGACACGAGGGGACAGCGTGGTGGCTGCAGGGTCTGTCCCCACATGAGGGGACAGAGCGGTGGCTGCAGGGTCTGTCCCCATGGAGTCCCCGACATGAGGGGACAGCACGGTGGCCCAGGGTCCATCCTGTGGGATGCTGGCCCGGCTCAGCTGGGAGTGGCCTCGGAGGTGGCCCCGGGCCTGTCCCACGGTGTCCCCAAGGCCCCAGCGCCGTGTCCTCCCCGCGCAGGTCCTGGAGAACTTCAGGATCGAGACCGCGCGGGCCGTGGAGATCGGCACCAAGTTCGAGCTCATCCTGGTCCCGGACCGGCCCATCCAGCTGAGCCTGCGGCCCCTCGAGGGCCAGCCCTGAGGAGGGGACACGGGGACAGCGGACCCCAAAGGGCAGGGACAGACCCCAAAGGGCTGGGATGGACCCCAAAGGGCAGGGACAGACCCCAAAGGGCCGGGACAGACCCCAAAGGGACGGGACAGACCCCAAAGGGCAGGGACAGACCCCAAAGGGCCAGGACAGACCCCAAAGGGGCTGGGACAGACCCCAAGCCAGGCTGGGGGACCCCAAACCGTGCTGGGTGACCCCAAAACGGGATGTGGGACCCCAAAATGGGCTGGGGACCCCAAAACTCTCTGGGAGACCCCAAAAGGGACCGGGGGACCCCAAAACGCCCTGAGGGATCCCAGACCGCGATGGGTGACCTGAAAACACCCTGTGTGACCCCAAAACATGCTGTGTGACCCCAAAGCACTCTGGTGACCTCAAAACACGCTGGGTGACCCCCAAACCCTCTACGTGACTCCAAACCCCCCCGGGTGACCCCTCGCCCCCCGGGTGACC